CATGGGCACAAATAATATCTATTGTTTCGTCCAGCGGTACATTTGTAAATAATGATTATACGTCTAGTGAAATCATAAATTTATCAGTATACAGATTTATTCCTTTCTTCATCGAGCGTCATCATAATACTAGTGCGCTGCAGACTTCAGTTTGTTTCAAGCGAACTTGCAAACTGTTCTAGGCCTAGGTCATCACACTTACTTTTTGCCTCACGCATCTACTTCTAATTTGTCCGCACAGAACTGTGAATTAACGGAAAAATGTTATCTGCATGTTTATAGGTAATCGGAACCCGATAACGCACGATACTCGCGTATACGAAACAGCAGCAACTGGACTAAGACCCCAACTGCAGCCAGAAGAAAATGTGCCCGTACATACCGCGAGACGACCTCAACATTCGGACTTTATAAGTAAGTGGAGAATGTCCTCCTACCTGCTTATAAAAAATTAAATTTGCAAAATATAAAAACATGACCTACTACTTAGTTTGAAAAAAAACAGGGAGACAAAATCACATCACACACAAACAGTTCGAGATAAAGAGAGAAATAATTTTCGAGAAAGTTTTCTTTTAACTGGCTTATATTGAAATGGAACTTCGAATAATTTTTGAATTTTACAAATATATTACCGCATAGAGTATTTACAAATTATTAGATTACGAAAAGGGTGCCTCCCAAATTAAAGCTCCTGCTTCGATCATGGTAAATATATATGCTTCCAGGTAGGATTTTCAGCTGCAAACCCTGTTGTGAAAGTAAACTAAAATGAGTTCAGTCGGCATTTGCAAAACTGCTCTTCCTAATCGGTGCTCTTTCTAGGGAATCGAAACCCGATTACCGGAGCTGGGATGCGCGAGGAGGACTACTTCACCACCATAAACGTTCCAATTGGCTTCTGGATCCGTGGAACCCCTGCAGCCAAACCGAAGGCGAAGAAACCAGCAGCAGCAGCAGCAGCTGAAAGTAAGTCGCGGAAGATGGTTCCTCAAGAAACCTGACAGTCACTACTGAAGGTTTTTATCGATAGAAAACATATGCAAAAAGTGAATAGCGTTAAGATTAGTACTGACGATCACACTGCCAAAATGAAGACGTCAGCTGACAGATTGGTGTTAAAAGGATAAATTATTAAGAAAAGACAGCTTACAAAACTCCACTACTAAACGGCAGCCAAGAGACCGAGTCATGAGGCTATGTAAGATGTAGTGGCTAGGTATTGGTTGTGTTCAAAGCACCTCAATCATTAGGCCACATCTCAAGTTGTCGGAAAGGACAGGACGCCTTAGAATGAGAGTTTTGTTGTGCACAGAAGCCTGCTTTGCTGTCTCAGGCAGCAATGGCCACCGGTGAAGCCAGAGCTAGTGTTGACTGCGTTCAGTCAGGCCTGAGAGAGTGTGAGATAGCAGTGACAGCCGCTTCTACATAATTGTGAAGCAAATTAAATGGGTGTACGATTGGTGTGTTGCATTGCCCGAGGGGGTGTCGCGTATTGAGACCCATGCTACATTGGCCGAGGGGGGGGGTGTTCAAGTGGCCCCTTGGCAGCCGCGACTACTTGGACGCAGGCGCGTGTGCACGCGGGGTAGTCGGTCGGGCGTTAAACAACAAAGTCGTAGCTTGGCACTGTAGCTGCTATATTAACCTCCAACGACGACGAAAGTCATCACTGCCTCTAGAGTTCGGACCTAGAGTAGCTACATGCAGGAAAACTGGTTTGTATAGACCGACGCACTTGTGTTGAGTCGGGGACAGTCTTCGGATAGCAACAGAAGGTCAAGAGGAATAAAAGAAATTAACGTTTGGCAATTTTGCCCTCAAACTAACTCCTTATTTTAAATAGCAAGACGCTATGGGATCAAAGTAACTTTGACTCCTAATGTCCACTGGTGAAACCTCGTGACGGCGTAATATTGTCCAAAAGGATGAGTGACCCACGTGGTTTAGCGATTTCACTGGATGTAGACAGTATTACCGGCAAAGACAAGGGAGACTGGAATAGCCATCGTCGTCAGCCAGTCATGGCCAAACCCAGTGGTGTGTAATCCGAGCCTCGAACTCGCGACCTCTTTAATCAGAGTCGAATACCCTAATCATTCAGCCACGAACTCTTTGTGTTGCAGGGTTAGGTCGAAGGATATTGACACTCATTGATGAACGTTCACCCGACCGCTAACGCAGCTTATCTGTCTCACTCTGCCTGGGGTCTCGACAGAGGCCCTGACAACCGTAGCAGCTGGTAGTGAAAGCAGATATTATTAACGGCAAAGACAAGGGAGACTGTAGTGGCTATTTCTGGCTTATCAGCCGTCGTCAGCCAGTCATACCCAGACCCAAGTGGCGTCCCACCCGAGCCT